TGTCAAATGCTTTACTAAAACCTGTGGGGATTATATCAGCAGACTTTTTATCCGCGTACTTCACTTAAGTTCCTCTTGCTGCGGGGTTTGTCAGTTAGCAGGAATTTCCCCGAAAACCCCAATATATGTTGGATAGAAAATTATAGACTTTTCAGTAGGACATAACACCTCTCTTAATTATTCCTTCCAAAGTTATAGCTGAAATGCTGATAAGACTAACAGGTCTTCAGTTAGAACAACATTGTCTGGGTGTTAACTGATAGATAGATGTGACTTATATCCTGTCAATGAAATGGTAGCATTCTTTGTTTGAAGATGACTGTCACAGTTCCGGCTGAATGGATTTTCTTATTCCTTGAGAAGCACTGGAAGAATTTCATTTAGTACCTGATTTCCCTGTATCTAAGCTCTTTGAAAATCTACACACACATCTTGATCGCTATGATTGAAAAGTATGTTGTTGACAGCTGGTACATCTACAGTCATAGTTAAATGAGATGAAAAATTCGAACATAGCTTTCGAGTCACCATTTGACCCACCAAATATGTAGACCTGTCGGCAAATACATGTTCGCCTTCTTGCTTTTGAGAGACACCTCAAAGTTCAGTAGTAATCAGTTCTAAAAATGTTTAACATCTTACAATTCTATCATTCTAGTTACACAGAAAATGACATCAACTTTATTGACTGGAAATTGGAAGATTAGACATTCAGGAGAAGGTAAACTATGTCAGTCAATTTTGTTTGCAATCAGTACCCTCTGAATTAATCCAGAGATATAAATTATGGCCTACTTAATCTGTTCATACTTCTCATGGTGCTGTATTGATTTGAACGTGAGTCCTCAAGGAAGGTCACTGATTGACCAAAGCAAAATTAATTTAATTTGAAAATCTGTATAGTTATTAGCTTAAAACTATTAGACATACAAACAGTTGAATTAGACTAGATATATGCAGAAATTAAATTTGTATAAATCTCAGACACATTGAAACATGGATCCCATGGATCATTGGAAGAACTGATCCAGTCTTCTTTAAGGAAACAAGTTAGGATGTCGTGATAAAAGAATGCTTATTACAGTTAAAATGCGAGCAGAAACCCAACTAGTTGTTATAATCACTAAACTACAAAACCCGGCATGTGGAGTCCTCAAAAATAAACTTATCCAAATTTTACTATTATGTAAAAAATGAACATATTGTACACTACTTTGTTTTAACCAAAAACTCTGTACTTTGAACTTCCCTCGAGTTTCAAATAAATATATAATTCTGCCTTCGACTCTCCATCTTCTCCACCATCTCAACTGCCGTCGATCAATTATAACAACCTGCTTTCTATCTCGAATTTTTGCAGGATCACCGTAGCCTCCTCCTACGCACTTTGGTCGACTTCCGGCAACGTCAACTCTGGAGAATTAGAACTGGAGCAGTCTTCCCGCAGCACTTCTGGAATCCATTACGTTTATTGTGGAATTTGGATCTTTGTAAACCCAAGTAACAAAACTTTAATATATTCTTCCCGTAAACTCAATTGATTTGGTATTTTGTTTTCTATTTTAATTTGGGTTAATAAGCTAACAGAGCAAAAGGTCCACCACAGGCATACATTGACATTTCATTTTGACTGAGACCATCGCCAAACGAAGGAACATTATTGTTGAATACTCTAACGAAACTATAGCATTAAACTATGGACACGTATGAAATACAAATTGAATTAACTCAAGATAAATTTCACCTTCATTAAAAAAAAAATTATTGTTGACTTAGCCTAAACTATTCACTTCCACTGAGCAAATCATTCTTTAGGAATACAAACACTAGTTAATTGATATTTTGTTAATCGAAAGGAATAAGAGGATTGCAAATCCTACATACCTGCTTGTAAGTCATATTAAAAGGATATCATTTTAGAGTTACTAAATCAATTAGACAGTTGAAGTTTCTGAACTAAATGAATATTCAACTTTGAGAATGTGAATTAAAAGAGTGCATTATGATCGGTACATTTGGACATTAATGCATAGGAGAAATCCTTCCACAGTGTTTTCAACATAAGCTTTCAATGCACATAATTATGCCCACATGTGACTGATAAATAAAAAAAATTACTTAAGATTGAATTGCATCTTACATAAGTATTCACAATCACAACTAATATCAGAACATATTCTTGTTAAAGTTACAACTTAATAATGTTAAAACATGATACAATACTGTCATAAACATTTAGATCGTAACTAACGTTATATATATATATATATATATATATATATATATCCAAAGTGGCATTGCGTAATAAAGTAATTATCCATGTTACAAATAAATGTAAAAAGCCAAATAGCAAGTGAGTAAATAAGTAACAATGCGTGTGAAATTAAAATGAAATTACATTGAGGTTAAAACAGGAAGTAAACAAATTAGCATTCGTAAATTATCAAAAACACAATCTGTATAATAAGCGAGAGGAACACATAGAAAACAGCGTAGCAATAATGCAAATTCAAGATGGTACATGGCCGAAGAAAGAACAGACTACCCAAGACCTTCATTAAACAGTGTGATACTAAGTGCACTCTCTGCATTAGTTTGAAACAAACAGATAAATTCGGTAACTATTCGAATATCCAAAGTTCAGCCTGCTTCAGTGGTTACATCCCTATATAGTTTGCGCAAGTGTATTCAATGTTCTTTCGTGCATGAAATCTTTGCTGATGTACAATCTAAGTGACTGCATATAAGATATGCATACTGACTGACATAAACGGTTTAATTTATTATTGATACTTATATTCTCACTGGTAAAATTAGTCTGCAGATATGCATCGCCAAAGGTAGTTCACTAAGTGGGTTACACATTCTACTGCAATATCACCCGCAAATTGCAAGCCTATAAACAGTGTCATCCTGAGAAAATTAAATACTGTCAAATGTACTGTTATGTTCGATTTATACTTTTAGATTAAATGGTTAGAGTTTTACTTCACTTCTGCCTGTTACCTTCAGATAAATTATTTTAACCCAACTGATCACGTATTTAGATTAAGTATTATTGATGGAAAGTTTAGAAAAATCAGTGAACTGATACCAAATATGAGACTGAGTCTTTCACGTTACCAAAACTCTATGCAGATTAATGATCGATCATTGATGTGGGGAACTACGTTCTCCTCGGTTTGAGTTTTTACTCATTTACGACATTCTCTTGGGTTCCGAATGAAGCACGCGGTTTCAATATTACATCTCTAATTCATCCCATTCCCTGCATTCCTCTTTAGATGGCCCCACGACTGCCCATAAGTTTTCATCTCCTTCATATCACCGTCAGACACCCAACTCACCATTTCCCATTCAACTTATACTCAAAGGGCCTGCAATCTGACATTGCTCAACGATCTCTTCAGAGGTCGCTCAATCCATCTCCTTCTACATCTTTTTGGAGTAAGAGTCTCCTCGTGGTGCGTTCGTTATGCCCCGGAGTTCCTTAATCTTTCTGGTCATTTGATCTTTAGTATCGAGACAGTGAAGGAATCTTCTGTAAAAAGTCCGGAAATTAAGATCTTGTTCCTTATGACGACTGCAGCAGATTTCCACACTAATTTCGGATTAACATAGCACGACTTAAGTAGTAACACCAAGTAATTCATAACACTTGTCATCCACTTTGGAACACGGCTACCAACCAGTGAGTTAGCATATCCTGATTAATTCAGTTAATTTCCAAACCACACAACTGATGCAACTCAATTCCTAGTAGACAACTTTATAACTGACTGACACACTACATCATATTCGTTCTCCACTTCGCACTCGCAATCTCAATTAATTAGTACATCTACCCCTAATTTCATACGTGAGTTTAATAATTTTTTAACTTTTAGTGCTGTTTTGATAGTCTTATAGCTACTAATTACCTATTATTTTTTTCCAGAGAACATTAGACAGAAAACTATCCGGTACACTGATGCCTGTAAACGCCTAAACCAGGTAGACTGAGTGATGAAATAATTAGTGGGACACCACCCTGCGCGAGACTTAGCAGACACTATAATCTTCGCCTTCATTCATGGAAATTTTCCGTAGTGATGGTAGATCGTCTAAATTTCCAAGGCAATACCAACCACGAAGCACTAAATTATAAATCACTTCCTGATATACCTTTTTAGCTTTAGTAGGGACAGTCGCTACATCCGACTAAGTTAATGAATCCGCAGTATTCCAAATATATTTAACATCTCACAATCCATAAGGATGAAGTTAACAAATTCAGACGTTCCCGTCAATATGAAAACATCTTCCATAAAAGCGCAGAAAATCGTTATCATCACCAATCTAACACAGCATATTCAACAATTAAGTGCTGGCTTATGTAGCCAACATTTAGTTCTGCAGTACGATTCTGTAGAATCACATTCTAAGAATAATAATGGAATATTCGCGATCCCCCAAGACTTCTGTACGATTTTTTATCTACAGTTTTACGCAAAGAGTTCTGTACCGAAACAGTGGATGCAGGCTAAACCAGTACTTCCGCATTAATTATGAAAAAGCTAAATGACTCGTGAATCACCTCGTGACAAAAACGCATAGCATAAATGAAATTATCTATTTAGGTAAAGTTTGAACAGAAGTTCATCGAACACATTCTACCATAGTTTGGGTAGATATGTGAATGAATTTAAAAACGTTAAAATCATCCCCCAAAATAACTATAACTAGCTTGAGAATGATATCGCCGAAAAGAGTAACTATTTGCTGAACGCCTTTTCTTTTATATAATATTTTCGTTACACTTCTTATGATAGTTTCTTGAGCCGAAATATGAATCGCTAAAATTACTTAACGAAAACCGAGCTTACCACCGCTTGGACCATGTTGATGACTACCAAGTGACAATTAGCTGAGTCATAACAAACCTACGAGTATTGGATATCTTGATCGAAACTACTGATGCAAACCACCTGGAATAATCTCCAAATATTTCTGCTTTCAACCTTTTACTAACAAGTCAACAAAACTTAGTATATCCTGCATCTCACGACCATCAAACGCATAACAGAATAAGTCAACCATGAAGAGTTGCAAACTGTTTACATATTTCATGTAACCATGAACACATTTTTCAAGACAAAATCCGACCAGTTTGCTATACATCTATACACATCAGATGGAGATAAAAGTAAAAAAAAAAACAGAAGACACTTTCTCCCAGTAGCCATTGGATCTTGTTTTTTTTTCTATAACAATTTTACAAGTTTCACAGTAAAGTAACAGAACCGAAAATGATGACAGAAGCTATATGAGAAGTGTGAAAAGCAAAAATACTGAAGCCTAAGTCTATTCAAAACTGTCCACTGATAAGAAAACATACACATATGCACAAACTTTGCTAATAAAAAGGAACCTTACTGACAACTGAAGCACACATATACACATAAAAGTTAAGGAAGAATAAGTTCACACGCACAATGAGGTAAATACCATTTAATCAAGAAGATCAGAGATATACAGATAAATAAACAAGTTAAATATTTTCGCTTCATTCGCCATCAAAGGTGTTAAAAACAAATTCAAAGACATGGGGGGCTGGGGGAGGGGGGAAATATTAAAATCAGGATAGATAGTTAACGATAAAAAGAGCGAATGATAAAAACTCATTTATTACAATGCTATTAGAAACCAAAGAGTCGCTGTGAATGCCAATATAAAATCATGATTACAGGAAAAGACATGACGACGTTAAAAGCATAAAGTTCTTTGAAAAGGCAGTATGGAGTAAAATTTTCAAATAGTGGAACGACAGGAAATAAAAAGCCTCCTAAAATGAAGTGCAGACAGACGTGAATATATAATAAAATAAACTGATGAAACTGTAAAATAAAGTGAAGTGGAGAATGTGAGCAAAGGGTAAGTGTCTGTTTTCAATAACGAGACACTATAACACACTAAGACACACAACGCCACCTCAGAAAATCACAGAGAAAAATATGGACAATGATAACAATAATCAGATAAGGAGTTTGAGCTAGTTCAACACAACATTTAGATAAAGCATACCCACTAATTACAGACACATGACTGGCATTAAGTTTCTCAATATTGCCATCGTTATGCTTCGATACCGGGCGTACAGTGAGCTGTAGTAAAAATAAGCTGCAGAAACTATGTTGACCAGTAATGAAAGGATGGTGAGAACTAAGAGAGAAATAAAACTGGAAACAAATAATGGCGCTAGCAAACAACTGTTATGTGAATTCTACCGGCAAAATTGTAAACTCAAACCCAAGAAACCTCTGATATTGTGTAGACGTATAAAGATTTTTTCAAAGATGAAAGCCTTTTGAGTGAGTGCAAATGCATTATGGAGTCAGAAGACAAAATAAATATGAAAAATCCAAATTATGTTATGAACAGCTTGTGACGTCTCGGCAGACAACTAGAAAAGAGGATAAAAATGAGATCAATTAGTGATAGAATAAATGAATAGTTTGCTCATAAGATTTTATTGCCTATTTACATTTCATGATGCAGTCATAGAAATATGACGAAACTTGGTTACCTTAGTTTAACTGCAAAATCATACTTGAAACATTAGATACCACTGGCTAGTCTTTCGGTGTTATTACTAAATTTCATAGACACGCAACTAGCTAACGCATCAAACGAAGTTGAAAAGTCCACAAAAGTAGATTGTTGGCTCACATAAACGTAAATTAATTTATCAGCATTCGAAAAACAGTGGAAGCAAGAATAATACAAATATTTACTAGCTGTACGACAAAAACTCAGCATTATTGATATAAGTATAAAACTTGGGCACTGTGGTAGAGCATAACTTCACTATGGATAAGATTTTATTTTGATAAATCACACAGTATTATATAGTAACATTAAATGATGATGTTTCGAGCACAATTTACTGCTCATAATCATATCAAGTTACTCACACAACTTTTTTCCTTCATTTATATACATGTGTGGAATTGATTAGATATTTGAATAAATATCAATATAGGATAATGTACATTCAGAAATAATAATATGATTGTTATGGATCAACTACAAACAGATGGGAAATAAGACGAGTTTTTATAGTCATAATAAGTTACTTGTTAGAATGTTGTGTGTTTGAATTGAAATAGAAATTTAAGATTATTTATTATCCTCTTCTGATTTGACCGGCGATAATAATATCTCCTATATTTCTGGTATTTGCATTGAGTCATTTCTGTTGCATGTGTTGCGTGTAGACTCGATGAACAAGGATTCAGTAGGGTGGGAGAGGGTTAAAATTCTAAAAAGTAATCTAGGTAGGTGGAGAGAGAGGTTGATTACTGAATCTTTGTTTATCGAGTCTACACCCAACACATGCAATAGGAATGACTCATCACTCATACCAGAAATATGGAAAACACTACTGTTGATCAAATCAAGTGATGGAAAGTAATGGAATTATATAAATGAAGTTGGAAAGTTGTGTGAATACCTTGATATGATTATGAGCAGTAGTTTGTGTTCGAAACGTCATCAGTTAATATTACTGTACAACACTGTGTGATTTATCAAAATAAAATCTTATCCATAATGAAGTTAAATACTCAGCACCTATGGAACCAGTTACTCAAACACTAAGGATCGTCTGTGAAATAAGGCGGCAATAACTAAGAACGAGTGTGAACTTTAATGGATTTTGAGCAAATTAAGCGCTTTTTGTATGGAGGGGTGTTCGAAATGATATCATTTAAAAGTGTTGTAGGACGCCACTTGTCAAATTTCTTAGAGAAGCTAGTCATTTTCCTAAATATTCTTTTGCGTTTCTCGTAAAATCTTGTCAACATCTCTGACATCTGACTTACATTCTTTAAAAAAATTCTAAAACCAGTGTTTCAACTCTATGGATGATGGCTACCTTAGTAACCGAAACGTAAGACTTGAATCCCAGAGATAGGGTTTCTAATGTAACTATGCTTAATTGAACTTCCGATAGATAACAGGTCCTGCTGATGATTTCCATTCTGGTCGCCGTCATCGCTTGCATCGAACAAATGCGACTGAGTTCTGCTAAAAATGGAACAACCTACTATCGCCAAGATGTTAATGATACGTTTATTGTTTATAACAACATGAATCACGCATCGATATTATTTGACCACTTCAATGAGATTCACCTAAACATTAAATTCACCATGGAATATGAACATAATGATGAGTTCAATTTCCTTGATTTTCATATACGAATAAGAAATGATGGTACAACCAAAAAGTCCATATATACAAAATACACCCGGACTGAACAATGTCTTCACTATAACAGCTTCAGTCCTATAAGTTATTAGCGTGGATTAGAGAAGACAATGTACGAAAGAGCCAACAAGATGGGAGAAGAATTAGGTTTCGTTGAGAAAAGCATAAGGGAAAATGAGTACCCAAAGGAATTTGCCCGGAAATATAGCAAAGGAAAGGACGAGAAAACGAAACATCCAACTATTGAAAAGAAGAAACTGTTTATTTGTCTTCCATTAAAAGGAGAAGTAGTATCACAAAAGATTGACAGGAGAATAAAAGGAGCAATAAAAAGATGCTTCCTTGCGCAACTAAGCTCGTAGTGCTATACAGTACCACATGCGCTATAAGCCAATCTATACTGGACAAGTACCCTGCTGATGTCATCTTCGACTGCGTTTATAAATTTACGTGCACTTGCGGGAGCAACTTCATTGGAAGGACGGAAAGAAGAGCTTTTATCCGGTTTTCTGAGCATATCCCAAGAAACTTATGCATAAAGAGAAGCAGATATTCGCAAAGTGGATACAAGCCATTCAGTAGAGAGTTCCAAATCATTTAAAATATTCAACATTCAAAGGACAGAAAATTTACTACGATTGGCTGAAGCAATTTCAATTAAGCGTTTCAAACTTCAGCATATAGAAAGAGAGTGTAATCAGTCTCTCACTGCCTTGGTAACTGCCTTCTGACTAAACTGACCCTCTCCCTGAGCAAGTTTTCAATTTCATGAAGTATAACCTTCTTGAGTTGCTGTGTAAACCTACAAGCTAACACTGTTTATTAGATTTTTCTGCCCTCTGTCTTCTCCTCCCCCTCTCCTTTCCTAATATGAAAGCATATAAAATGATGGTAACTTAAACTAAAAATTGTAGTGCTTACATTTCGGATGCGTTAATTCTATATTTTCTCTGCTTACATTCAAACATTGAAGTATGTAATTGTTTCTTTCTTTATAACTATTGTAATTTTAGGTAGTTTGAAGCTGATGAAAACTAGTGAAATAAAATGATGTCATTTTATGCTGTATATGTGGTCATTCTTTCTTAATAGAAATTTACAGAGGGAATCAAGTGTATGAAACTTATGATGATTGCTTATAAACACGCTTTGTCACCCGAATCAAATCTCTCACATTCAGTGACCTAAGAGAACTTACACGGCCTCTGATATTCACTGTGTGCATGTACGTTATTGTCATCAAGATATGACACGCAGATCATATCACATTGATATGATTGTTAACAATAAATTGTGCTATAAACGTCATCCAGCTATTAAGACCGTATCACTGTTACATCAAATAAACTTATCTAATGTGGAATTATATACTATCACAGTGAACAAATTCTACACGTACATTATTGAGAACTTTATGCCAACTTTTCAGTAAATAGAAAAGATAGGGAATAAGAACAAATAGAAAATTGGTTTCTTTACAATTTCAGAAGAGATAAGAAATAATTCATAAAGTAGAAATCCGGAATTGACACCACTATGATTGAGTTAACATACATAAGGACTTTCAATAAATATACATCAAAACATTAGAAAATCAACTTACTGTAGGAATAAACTAGACAAACAAACATGTTAAGAAATCATTTTGAAGTACATATTTAATTACTTCTAGTCTGACATTCAGAAATAGCCCGAAGAACATACAGTAAACAAGCCTGTTGTCTTGCTTCTATAACCATAAGGATAACATGAATCTGAAAACAAACAAAAAACATTAAAACAGATTGGGTGAGAGATGAGAAATTCACTTTTGCATCTATAAATCAACAGACAATCACGCTTTATACAATTGAAATAAAAATAAATGATGCGTATCACTTGGAAAGGTAAACTTTTGAAAACTTCAGAAAACTGTTCGTTTCATTGTCATTTCCACAAATAAAATAATTGCATGAAATAAACTGACCAACAATCACTAAAAAATAAAGGTAAAATGAGTAACTGCTTACCATTTCAGAAGATGATAGCGCTGGGAAAATGTTCTCAAATTTGAGAGTCTGAACTGAAAAAACGGCGACTGGAAAAGTGGCACATAGTTTCAAATAGGCACGTTGTGAAACAGTAAGCAAACGATCTACACGATCATAACGAAAGTCGTCATGACAAATACCAAAAAAACTTTGAACTTCATTCCACACTGTTCGACGATAGAGAGAAGTATCAACGTTTGTAATACTATTCAAACTGTCAAAACAAAAATACATTAGATTTAACAGTTAATAATAACATGTTCATTAATGCAATTACCAACTGGTGATACAAATAACAACAAAATACATTCACCGTTTGCAAGTGTATCATTTAAGGAATGGGATAAGAACTACAATGACATTTACTTCCCCTCTCGCTATTTAGCTTTGTGATGAAAACGAACGAAGGCTTGCATAAAAGTCTACATGTAACTGATAGTTTCATAGACAAGTGCAGGTCGGAAGCTTAAGATATGAACATTAAACAAGTTTGTTCCGATTGAACGATTCTAGCTTTGGAAACATCTTCAACTTCATTAAGTAATCTTAAAACATACAGATAGGCTTAATTTTTTAACATTCACTTATTTCCCAAATAAAACTGCACTTCTTGGCTAAAACTGGTTTACTCAGAAGTATCACCTACCGAATTGACGATCATCTGAAAACTATCAATTATCAACAGTAAAATGCTGAGTTCACAGGTTGCTGGATTCCAACTCAGTAAGCAAAATGGCAACGTCTTTCATGTCGTAACGTTAACGTTCTGGGATTCGGGATGTGCACTTCAATAAAGTCCAAAACTTAGAAGAAACACCTGTTTGATACACACTGGTTCTAAATAATTCTTCAAATAATGTCAGTGCGCGATGAATTCCGACTTGAAATCAATCAAATCTTCATAAACCCAACCCAATAAAAATGACATATGTGATAAATTGTAGCAAACTTCAATAATCTAGACTTTCTTCTTGATAATACCTCAGTATTTGTTAGTTTAACCTCGCCTACTTCACTGGTTTCCTAGCCAGTCCTAAACCGGCGAAAAGAGATAAAGTTGGCCGTAGCTCTTATGCAGTGAGAACCAATCCCAAACAGGAATATGATGGCAAAAGGAAGGAAAGACGGTTACAATTATCCAATGCTACGCATCTACAAACAACAAAGAAAGTACATCCCAAATGCCGACGTAGAAATCTTAATCGGATCTATAAATGCTAAACAGGGAGTAGAAAATTCAGGAAGAGAATCCATCATGGATCGGCAGGCTCTCGGAAAATGAATGAGAACAGAGAACTCTTCGAAGACTTCTGCGCATTCAATGATTTGGTGACTCGATGCAGCTTGCACAAGCACGAAGATATACATAAGGCGAAATGAATTTCACTTAGCGGATACAACAATAGTCACATCGAATTCAGCTCATTCAGTCCCAAGAAAATACACACACAGTCAGCTGGATATGAAGTCAAGGAGACAAGCAGATGTGGGCTCACGCCATTGTCTAGTGCAAGGAAACCTCGAGGTTAAGCTGAAAGCATCCAAAACAACTGGAGATAGAGCACGATTCAAGTTCAACACTCAGAAATTCAAGGAAAAACCCACAATAGACAACTTCACTGCACCCATCAAAGCAAACTCCGAGACACCACATCACTCAGAAGAGTGATGTTCAAGGAAGCACGTACAACTGTTTGGCGAAGAAAGAAGAGGCAAGACAACGAATGCCTCTCTACCTACATCTGGAAGACAATGGATGACAGCGAGGTGGATGATGAAAGCACCGAAACTGATCCAGAGATTGCAGTGGACTCCACTGTTGCAAAGTGTTTGTAAGGAAGGACACGTACCTACTAATTGGAGGAAAGGCTACCTTGTCAAACCACCAAACAATGGTGAATCAGGTGTCTGCAAGAACACGTGTGTAATCACGCGCTTGTCCACACCAAGCAAAATACTAAGTCGTGTCATCCTGGAGAGACTGGGAGATGCACTGGATGCACAGCTCTGCCGGCCGAAACAAGCTGCATTCACGAGAACCAAATCATACACGAATCAGATTGCAACTCTTCGCATCATCACCATCGAACACAGCATGGAATGCCAGTCAAACCTCTACCTCAACTTCATCGACTTCGAAAAGTCCTTCGGCAACATCAACCGTGAAGTAATTGGCTTTTGGAAACCACTTCAACACTACGGATCGCAGTGTCTCAAATCTTTATCAACCTCAGTCCACAGCCAAATGACAATGCCACATATCAAGTGAACCACAACAGAAAACTCAGCGAGTCATTCGAAGTGAAGACAGGAGTAAGACAAGGCTGACTACTATCACTGGTGATATTCCTACTTGTGTTGGGCTGGATTGTGTGTGGCACATCGGAGGTGGGGAGCGACAAGAAAGGAATACGTTGGACCGATGAGGACACTAAAAGATCTGGATTTTGTGGATGACTTGTGCTTAGTGTCATACAGAATCGAAGATCTACGGGCGAAAACCAACAAGTTTACAGAAGAAGCAGCCAGTGAAGCATCAATCACTATCGACGGGAGAAATTTGAAAGAGGTCAACTCCTTCACTCATCTAGAAGGCATCGTTTCAACTACAGGCGACAGCATGGGTGAGGATGTCGAAACCAGAATCCGAAAGGTAAGAAAAACATTCATCACTCTGAAATCAGTTTGGAAATCCCCTGAAATACTCAAAATAAAGAACGAAATTCGGATTTCAAACATTAATGTCAAGTCAGTTAGCACTTCTATATGGGTTTGAAACCTGGAGCGATATGAGACTGACTGACTGGCTTCAACGTAGAACTTTGCACGTGTGTGCGACAGGAGAAGCATTTTTAACGGGCTTCAGACTTTGAATAACAGTTGCCTTTGCCCCATATTAATTATTATAAGGCTAGATGAAATCAGCAACAAGAAACTATGAGAACGAACCAATAAGGAACCTACTGCTTAACAAATATGCAGAAGAAAATGGAGATGGATCAGACACGCTGAGGAGACCGTTGGGTGAAATTACGTGAAAGGATATCGAGTGGAACCTGAGTGGGAAATGAAAAATTGAGTGTCCGAGAGTGACATGGAGGTCGTGTGAGGAGGAGATGAAAGTCAGTAATATTTACTGCAATGTTACTGTATAACACTGTGAGACTTTATCAGCATAAATTTCACCCACAATGGAATTATACTCTACCACAGTGCACAAGTTCTATTCTTATATCAGAAGATGACAGACTATGTGTAATCGTGGGGCCAGCTAAAGAGGACTTCAGAGAACAAGGTGAAGTGCAGATGTGGAGTTGAAGCCCTATGTTCGACTCGGAAGTCAAGGAAATAATGAATAATAATAAATATTTGTCAGTTTCAAAAAAAAAGAAGAGATGACTCACTGCCAGCTATGACATTAATGTAAGACGTTATGAAGTGAATAACGCGGTTATTTCAAATAAAACAGAATACATACGTGTTATATGTCAAATCATATGCATTACGGAATTTTTCGTCCAAAAGTGAGCCAAGTTCTGTACATAAACGATCCGCTAAAGCCGAGCCTTCCTCTTGCCATGAATATTCCTAGAAAAAAGAGAAATTTGCAAAGAACCAAATCATTCAAAACCCAACATTTATTGTAAGGCAGCGAAAATTTTGAGAGGCTGAAAATGAATTGAAAAGGATCAAGTGCTATGTGGAAGTTTCATTTAGAGTGGGAACTGGCCGGTAGTTTTAAATAAATAGAATCCATTTTTTATACTGAAAGCCTCCTTAGCAAAACGGAAAGATTAAATTACAAAAATCATAGGTAAATTCCAACCTGCATTGATTAACAATCTTGTTTAGTAAAGCTGGGAAGTAAATGAACCATAATCCATACGCCAACACACAGTATCCTTCAAATTTGACGCCATCAAAATTATGTACTACTTTTCCTTACCATCGGTGAAAATAATAATCAATGGGAAGCAGTAGAATGAAGAAGACAACTTGATAAATAATGTATTTCATCCTAGTTAGCATTTCATCCCCAGACATAAAATATTTATTTTCACTTCGCAATCATGCCGAGATAACTGTCATTTATAATGTAAAAATTTTCATTAAGTTGACTGACAATCTGCGCATTACAGCATGCCGATAAACTTGTCCAATTGTATGATTTATGTATTAAATGCAAGATATTTTCTGGATGATACAATCAGCCTGAATATTGGTGTGCTTTCAAATGTGAAATAAAGAAAACTAGTAAGTTTTCCTACGGTAAAATTTGTCATGCAAACACAGTTAAGCAGTACATCGTCATCTCTTAGTAGTTTATTGGGTAATGGGTACCGTATCAGAAAAATTCGAATACTAGAATTCCTGGGGAACACGTTTGAAGGAGACATCACTCCTCACAGTTAAGATAATGAGATAGCGCGTAGTTAATACGACTTAGCTCCGAATGCGTTAAATTCCACCTAGTTTTAGAAATACATATCTTCCACTCTCTGTTAATTTTTCTGAAAGACATCATAAGCTAAAAAAGTCAACTGAAACTTGTAGATTAATTTTTTGCAACGTGTACACAAAATTTAATTATGATATACGTGTGCGTATATTTATCGCTTACTGCAACATGGAATGGACGAGTATCAAAGTTTTTGTAACCAGACTGTGGTGAATCCAAGAAACGGGAGATAAGTGGATGATGAGATAACTTTTCAATATGCTTCATCATACCACTAGACGGGAAGAGGTTTTCTGAATCCACTACAAAAAATTAAAAATGCAACAAGCATTGAAATACATTAAACAGATTACATACAAGTAATAATAAGTCATCTTTAATTAAAAAACCACAATGAAAAAATACTAAATAAGATTATCAGTGCATATTTTCGAAATAAATATTGTGAACTGCGTACACAACGGTTTGAAATGTACTGTGTATGGAGATCACAGTTATGTTAGGGATATCGAGAAAGTGTTTGTCTGTGCTGGATGAACATCTTCACCTTCCTTCACTCAACGTTCAAATTTCAACACACTTTTCTATTGATTGCTAGGATAACTATGAAGGGAAAAAATACGTGATACGAAGACGAAACAATGCTCAAACGTTAAGTTTATTCTAATTTCTAATTTGTAGTCTACACTTCAGAGAAAGCGATTGAGCCAAATATTGTATTTGTTGATTCCTGAGACTGTCTTAATCGACAAAACGGTAAAATTGCATGACTGCAGTCGACTACACGAGACTGTAGTCGCCAAACTCAGTTTTTACAGTGTATTAAAAGACGTTTCACTAACGATGTTAGGAACTATATTCGTTTTTAATATCATCAGATTTGTGCTTTCCCGCAGACCATTAAACACAACCAAAATAATTGGAATCAATTTCTATCTTCGTAATATTTTAGTTTGTGAAATACCTCTTGCCGAAATCAGAACTCATCATCAGTTCAAATGCATGTAACTCCTTTGAATCATATTTCTTACACATCCTGAAAATGCAGGTCATACTCTCGTGTACTAACCAATAGGTAAAGAGTTCAAACATAGTGCACCTACTTTAGCGCAAGTATCAGAGCAAAATCTCTCTTTTTCATACATTAGGTATGGCTGGGGAACATCAAAACATTCTGTCATGAATACCAGAACAACGATATATCTCAAGCTGTCGAATTATGAAAAAGCAGTAAGAAATTTGAGGGGAAAAACAGCAAGACGGGAAATTGGTAGACTGACAAACAACTCACACTGAACATTAGATCTGATTGCAGCTAGGAACTGTTCAGCAACAATATCTTCTGCAACTTCCTCCCAAGTTGAATCTTCTGTCTGAATGATTTTTAGCAATTTGCTTGCTGATAAATTTTTATTTTCATCGAGGGATTGATCGGTATGTGAGTTTTGACTATTTGTATTGCCATTTTCCATAACCTGAAAACACACTAACTAATTAAAACTCCATGTCAAAAAAATGAAAGACAAATATAAGACGAAGAATGCAAATTCACACTTATTCACAAAACATAATCTGTATTTGATCATGTTTCTCCTTAAATTTATCCATACATATCTATTGCATAAAATATATCATTGTTATAATTGTTTGACTGGTTCCTTAACAAACCCGGTACTCACATGTAAAATTAATGTAAATACCATCTGAGAATGTGACCACTCATCTACCACACATTTAGGTGAAATGTCAATAAAGATAATGAAATGAGAGTTAAAGAGTTATTTTATGAAGGCAAATTGGTCGAGATAGTAAATCTTTATTGAATAAGATAGTTAGAAAATGTGTTATGCGACCCGAGCCATCACGTCCCTCATTAGCAATTAGGTTGGGAAAGATCCCGAGGTGATTACACGAAAACGAAGTTATCAACCTATGAAGTCTTTTCGTAGCCCATAAGGTTATCCAGGTGGACTGATAGAGGAGCTAAAAATGAAAAATGAGAAATTCTTACTCATATGGCTTTAGATTTTTTACACTTGCGCAGAGGTTTTCAGTCCTTAAAACCGAGATTCGAAGCACTTCCCACCAATCGCTTAATTATACTCCTATTCAACCGTTATGTTTGTTTATTCTATTTTTATGAACTCTTATGTGTAGTTTGGAAGTGTGGCAACTTGAACTGACACATTCCTGTTTGAGGTTGTGTTTCTAAAATTGCTTACGTCCGGTGGCAATATTATTTGAATGTTTACCGGTGTATGTTCACAACAGATAGGGATTACCTTGACACATCGGCTCCGGTGGTGGCTGCAATATCGTTCTAGCTACGGCTGTTAAAAACAGCAAAGAGATCAGTTAATAACGCATTTTACAGAACCCTGGCTGCACAAAGAATGATTTCAACAAATAAACCAGTAACTAAATGACAAAAGAGTAAGAAATGAAGAATCCTGTTCTTTTTGCTTGGTGACAGAGACTACGTAAAAATTTATACATTTTTTTATTTCTTAATATTGTCTCAATTGCAGTTCAGAATAGAACTATAGATATCACGACTTCCTGTTTACTCTAATTTCATCCAGTGTTTTCCCTTTGCGTATTTATACCTGTAGGCATACTGTCAGTTTCGAAATCCACAGGAATTCAAAAGTTTTACTAAAGAAATTGCATGCAAACATGCCTTTTAAGGACTTTGAATACACCAGCAACGACATACATAGTAGTTGATATGCCGTCAATGAAATAAAACAGGTCCGTTTTTTTAATTGTGCCTTGTCCGTATTTTGTAGAAATGATAGTCTTTTTGAATCTTGGTATTCTTACAGATGAAACATAGTCATTTCTCTACTACTTAGCTGTATTCTGTAAGCAACACTACTTTGCTCACTTGCTTAGTATTACAAAGAAAAACTAGTGGCAATCTTTTGCTAACACAAACTTAGATACCTTATCTTTCAGAATTCGACATTGTACACTTTATTAAATGCATGATTTCATAACTTAGGCCTTGAAATGATGATTAGTTTACTCAGGACTGAAGGACTATCAAAATCCAAAAAGAATTATGAATAACAATGATATTAACTGCGGTTCGAAAAGAATGAAGGATATTCATTTAAGGAAAACAGACAACTTGAAGGTCTTAACAAAAACTAAACAGAGAAAACAAATAAAAAGATCAAATGATGCTTATTAACCTACGCGATTATCCCATGGTTCGATTGAACAAAAGCATTTGTCTCTAATTTCAAGGTCCTGATGACTACTAGGAGGATTTCCATTATTTACTTGACTATAAGAATGTGCATAATTATCATAAGTCTTTTCGTCATGATTAGTACTGTTTCCCTCGTTTAAATTAATCAAACCATCGTAATTATCAATCTCAGGACGAATTCCACAACCAAATATGAAACAAGCTAAGGCATGAACCTGAGACAAAATACCGACAGCATGCATCAATTCTGATAATGACAAAGCTTCTTTGGACGGATTCGAATCCCCACCGTGGGTTAAGTTGTATATATCATCCTGAAAAAGCAGAAAAATAAGCATTATGGTGTAGCTTTAACAGTAAATAAAATTTACATTTGAAAAACAACTTAAAATGTGTCGTACTTTGATGAAAATATTACTCCCAAACCCCGTTGGCTTGAATGAAAGCCTAAATGACTACCTGCGGACTTCCAGCACGTGAAGGTTGAAAAACTTTAGAGGCACAGAAAAACTCAACTGATAAAAATCCTGAAATTTTCAAAAAACACTACAGTACGTTAATGCATCTAAATAAGAGTTTAGAAGCGTTGAACCAGCTAGTTGAGAAAAGCTATCAAGGAATAATATAACAAACTTACAGCTGTAATTTTCCAAGGACGATTAGTAAGGTCTCTATTTAGACCACATAACTGGCGCCATTTCGGCGGCCCATATTGTACGCCTTGCAACCAAGACAAGGGACCACCAGAACTGATAAATTGACGAACAAAGAGAAGAACCAAGTAAATACAACGTTGTTCAGCGGCTGCCTGAAACAGTATAAGTATTCAAGTAACGAGTTTGCACTTTGGTGAACAAAACAAAATTTGAAAATGCAGAATATTTCTTTACAGCACCGTCTGGTTACTCTGTACAAACTCCACTTCCATCCAGTATTTCACGTCCATCACAACTGCGAAAAATGGTAAATCTCTGAACTGTTATGAATTATATGATCTAAGACAATATACTTTCTTTTGTAAGTGAGTGGTGGACGTAACGAAATTAAAAGATTGTGTTCCTTGATCAGGTGACCACTGGACTTTAGTTATTTTACAGTTTCACTTAAGTGACGAAACGACTTTACATTTTTAATATTGAAGAATATTTGATAAAGTGTAGTAAACACTTGAATATTGCTTATCTGTATCACTCCTTAATAATGCCAAATTTGAGATAGGCTGATAAATGGAGCTAAAACCTGATACATACGTTTCACTTCTACTTGATATGTACAAACAAATGAGTGACGGGCAACAAAACTAACCGACTCGCAAATTGTATTTACCTAACAAACCGATGTAAACTATAAGTTAAGCTGCTCCAGGTCAGACCTATTATTTAATTTCTGTGGTTTAGTAAATACACGTCTGTTATCGTGAGAAAACAGCAATATGCTACTGCACAAAATATTAAAAAGCTGTGCTACATCAGTATGCAGCTCAACGCCCATCATCGGTAAAGTTAAAGTTAAAAAATACTGAAGGTCTGAAAAACAAATATGAGAGTTGGTAACTCAATACAACTGAGCATGGTACCAAGGAAGATAACTGAATTGACAGTCATAGACGAAGGGAATAAGAAATGTAACTGACATTAGAAACAACAATGATGAGTAATTCCTGAGAATAAAACCACAGCCAAATGTGCCAAAATAAAACTATAAATGTAGTACGAATGCAACCGCATAGAACGGATTAAACACGAACGTCCAGCAAACGCCAACCACGCATCACGTGCTCTAACACTAGATCTAGCATATGATGAAAACAGCCTCAACGAAATATCAATCCATCCCAAGCCCCAGAAAAGAAATCATATTGCGAGTGGAGTAGTGACGTCACCCCATATAAAATAAACCAATTTCTAAAGAACTACCAAGCACAGAAAAAAACTCAACTTATTCTCCCCCGACGTCAGCGAACCAACTTTCCTCTCTATCACGATAACACTGAAATCTAAACGAGTCACACTTACACAGAGCCACGAACAACACTACAAACAATGCAGATCAAGAGAAGAAGCAAGACTTCTACATACAACTATAAGCAGTAATAAACAAGACCAAAGACAGGTGGCGACATCAAAATTTTAATGGGTGATATGAATGCAAGCATAACTGGAAGCAAACAACACATGAGCAGAACTCATCATGAGCTGACAAGCACTTGGTGAAATGAATGAGAACGGATGACTCTGAGCCTTTAATAATTTGGTGATTTGAGGCAGTGTGTACAAGGCACAAGGATTTCAATAAGGAGATGCGCGTTTCACCAGATGGACAATCCGATAACCAAATAGACTTCATTTCAGTCTCAGAGAACTGGAGACGCAGCCAACTGGACAGAAGATCCAAAAAGGGATCAGACGCAGCTTAAGACTACCATCCAGTGTTAGAAATTTCCGAGACCAAGTTGACAGCCTTCGAATGACCTGGAGACAGACGAAAATCCAAATATGGTAGATGAAGCTGAAAAGGACATCTTCACTCCAGTCAGCAGGAAAAGTCGAGGGCATCAAACTATGTCACCAAAGGCCCCTCCATGGAAGAGCACTGAAACACTCTGAGGGAGATTTGAAAGGAAACCTAGGTGGAAAACTCCGCGCAGAACAGGCTGGATTCAGGAGAAACATGTCATGCACGGATCAGATAGTAATACTTCCCATCATCGATGTACAGGGCCTAGAATGTCAGTCAACTCCCTACATCAACATCGACTTTGAAATAGCCTTCGGCAGTGTCTATCGCGAAGTAATTTGGCAACTGCTTCAGCACTGCGGTGAAATGTTGCAAACACTCTTAAACCTCACTCAATAGCTGTGTAATGATGATACATGTCAAGTGATTCACAACAGAAAGCTCACCAAAGTACATGAAGCAAAAACACGACTGAAACAAGACTGTCTAATGTTACCCATGATCCCCTGAGTGTGAGGAGATAGGCATACTCTGAACCGATACAAGACCCTTGCAGGTCTGGATTTCGCGGACGATTCATGTCTCCTTCCTCAAACTCGAAGACTTGCAGGTGAAAACCAACAAGTGGACAGAAAAGGCAGCGAAGACAGGAATCCAAGTGGACACAGAAGACAGAGGTGATGAAGACACCCAACCAACAACAAAAATCATCATCAATGGGAGTAATCTAGAGAAAGTCATCTCCTTTGCTTACCTGAGAACCATCGTCTCAACTACGGACGGTATGGACGAAGATGTCAAAACCATTCAGGACCGAAAAGGCGAGGCAGGTATTCATCACTCTGAAATCAATTTGAAGATCCGAAGCACTTAGTACAAGGACAAAAATCCGCATCTTCAACACTAACGCAATACCTGTTCTCCCCATTTCGATTGATGCAACCTAACTTGGTCTCCACATCAGAGATCACGTAAGCTGGTAGATGTCACATCAGGCGCTGAGATTTCGTCGGTAATCAGTCCACCATAGCTGATGCATTTTCCCAAATAAGAGAAGTGGGAAACATATTCGACCATTTAATTCCCTACATTTAATTTAGGAGTTAATGCAAATCAGTTCCGCAAGCAACAAGGAACTCTGGGAGGTAGCGAACAAGTCAGCAACTCAATATGTAATATTTGTGGAGATAATATGGGTTGGGTATACGAAACGTGTTCAACGGTTTTAGGAAGAAAGAAGATACAAGACAAGGAATGGCTCTCAACGGCATTTCCCTAAATATTCATCAACCTAATTCAACAGCTGTACGACAACGGCACATGTCAAGTGATCCACAACGGAAAAATCAGCGAGGCGTTTGGAGTAAGCACAGGAGTCAGACAAGGGTGCTTATTATCACCAATGATATTCCTAATTGTGTTGGACTGGATTATGCGTCAGACAGTGGGAAACGAGAAGACAGGGATATCCTGGACCGACATGAAGAACCTAGAAGACCTGGATTACGCAGATGATTTATGTTTGATGTCACACAAAATCGGAGACTTACAAGCGAAAACCGACAAACTGGTCGAAGAAGCAGCAAAGACAGGACTCCAGGTGAACATAGACAAGACGGAGGTCATGAAAATAACCAACCACCAACAACAACAGCAACATCCAGCGCCAATCACCATCAACGGGAGGGATTTGAAAGAGGTTACTTCATTCACTTATCTAGGGGGCACTGTCTCAACCACAGGAGAAACGGACGAGGATGTCAAATCGAGAATCGGGAAGGCGAGAAACACATTCATCAACCTGAAACCAATCTGGAAATCTTCGTCACTCACCATCAACAACAAAATTCGGATTTTCAATACAAACGTGAAGTCAATTTTGCTTTACGGATCAGAAACTTGGCGGGTCACCAAGAATATTTTCAACAGGTTGCAGACCTTTATCAACAACTGTCTTCGCTCCATACTGAAGATTAGATGGCCGGAAAGAATCACCAACAAGAAACTATGGGAACAAACAAAACTAGAACCAATCGTCCAACAAATACGCAGGAGAAAGTGGAGATGGATTGGGCACTCACTGGCTGAGGAGGCCGCTGGGTGACATCACGCGTCAGGCCCTTGAGTGGAACCCGAAAGGGAAGCGACGAGTGGGACGTCCAAGGGTGACATGGAGGAGATCGTGTGAAGAGGAATTGAAACAGTATGGACTAACATGGACGCAGGTGAAAAGTACAGCAGAAGACAGAAGCAAGTGGAGACGTGCAGTTGAAGCCCTATGTTTCACTAGCAACCCAAGGGAACAATGATAATAATAATAAGCTAAGCAGATTATGGAGTGACTTCGCACGCAAGGCCTTCGAGCAGAAACCGAATGGTAAGCGATAAGCTGGGTCTCTGAGGGTAACATGGAGCATATAATGCGAAGAGGAAATAAGAGCATGTAGGCAGTTATGGAGTCAGCTGTAGGTTTTTGCAGAAAATCGAGTCAAATATAGATGTGCTGCTGAAGACTTGTATCCTACTCAAAACACAAGTGCCGAGTAATAATAAGATATAATAGTAGTTTTGTGAGAACAAATATTATCCCAAAGATTTTTGTAGCACAAAACTTACTATGATTGCCAAGTAGTAACGATCTGGATAAGGTAACGGTAAATCACCACGGAAGAGGTGGTCCTTTAGTTTCATGAAACATTCAAGATATTCGGGGTGATACCCCATCACATTGATATAATTGCTTAGGCGTCCCCACTGGAACCAGTATTCCCGAAATAGGATGTAGGTCTACAAGAAAAAAATGAATTAACCGCAGAACATTATAATAGGTTAGTAAACTGAGTATCACTATCAAGATTCAAGTAGACTAAATCATTCGATAAGACCATCTATTACTACACTGCACACTATAATAACAAAACAATGACAAGTCACATTTTGACATCAGACAAGAGATTTCATTTATGTTAGCCATACACTTTGTTGACGACTTCAGCCAAATTTACACAGACTTTATCACAAGCCACTATAACAAGTAAACACATTACAAACTTGATAATTCTCAGAAGGAAACATACCGTGGTACTTTTATATTCCAAAATAACTTAGACCTTAAAATGTACAGGGCCATTCAGTAGCATCTTAGTCACATTAGAGTAAATTAATCCTTTAACTTTAATCTAACAAGTGAATTTAACTTTGGAATCCTATCAAGATGAAATACGTACGGTGTAGTGAAGATCCCCTTCATTTGGTTCATCCGTTAGGCACTTCATATGTTCCATCTAAAATAGTTATTTCATTAAAATTTCAACTACTTCATTTAGTGGGAGAATAAAACTAGGCGACAGTGAAGTGATATTTGGTATTCTGAACCCCTTTTTCGTCTAAAACTCAGTGATCATGAAAACGATGAAACCTTCAGGTCACGAAGAATATCTCTTGCAGCGGACCGTATGTCAGAAGATGGACCAGTATACGAAATCCTTAAAAGATCTGGGATTTGCTCTGTAATTAGACCATGCATCGAAGTATCAAGTGTGGCACCACCGGTGTCGTTGGCCATAGTTTCCAAGAATCCAGCAACGGCAGGGCTTCCGAATCCGAAATACCACGAATCAAATATTCGTTGAATAGTTGTAGCTGCTTCATGTCTTGCTGATTCGTCGCGGTGTGAGAGACCTTGTAATAAGTTAAGTGAGTCCACTGATCTCTGAAGCAGTGACGAGCAGTGCTTCATGCAAATAATGCTCATCTAGTCAAATAATCAGAGAAACCTCACAACTAAATGCTAATCACCCGCCCCTCAACCGGTCAGACGAACATAGCGCACAAATTTGTATCACCCACCATATCATATACCTTTGTTCAGGCATCAAAGGAACAAACTTAAGAATTTTGTGTTTTAGGAAATGAGACTGAAACCTTTCAGTAATTTTTTCATATATGCACCTGCACGTGAATACTTTTTCTTGGATTATTCAGTTAAATGAACCAAAAACGTTTGTCAATGACTGTTTCCCAGGATATGCCTGAAGTCTTTAAGTACAAACCTCCTGTTTTAGTATTTTTGACAATTTTAGCGCATTATTGTGCATCAAAACTCTCGGTGGACTCGAATCCAGTGAGAGGTAATCACCTATATAGACCTACTCTTCAGAAATGAGGAGTTAATCATTGACTGAAAAGCTGTTCGGTTTTACAAGCAGTCTGCTACCAGCCCCTTCGTCAGATGTCCCAGAAATAAACTCAATGTACCTTACCAGTATAACTTAGCTCTTTCCAGGCAGGTTAACTCTAAAAATTCATATTGTATGCTATTCCTAGGTAGATGGTGATGGCTCTCTCGTTCTAAAATCTTGTTTGAATTGCGTCTGAAACTTGTGTGCTTCTGTGGCGAATTTGTTTAGAGTTTGATTACACGAAGGATGTGGTATAATGTGCGAAGATTGATGAACTAGTTTCAACATAGTTTCGATCTAGTGAAACGTGGATATTGTTTTGGCCATTAACAAGGAATTCCCATCAGTAGCGGACCATTAAAATTCAGTGACTTCTTTTCACCACTATGACAGCCTAAGATAATTAGTCTTTCAGGGCAAATCCCGAGAAAGATACCATAGTTCTTCATTTAGATCTTATAGAGGCACACGTGGAGTCAGTGGTCGTCAGCTGCAAAGTCAATTGACCTAGTAGACACAATTAAAAATAACGAGGACGACCCTTTTGTATCCATCCCTCTTCCAAAAGAGTACAAATTTGATCAATCAATCTGGTCAACTGGCCAAGCTACTCCCAACACCAACACGCACTGAACGATATATGTATTGCACTAGCATCAGTATTTAGAGTGAAGCATTTGCTTCAGAGGACAGTAATTAAACCTTGGTGACCTCTACGTGTTCTTGTGTTATGTTTGCAAATAAAACGACAAATAAAGACTTCAATTGTAAATGAAAACTACTTTCAGTCATAAGTTGATTCTGCAGAATTTTAAAGACTTCTGTTAGAAGTGATTTAGTTACATTTATTCTTTCAGGCTGTGACTAGTGCTTTGTGGCTTATGTGATCCGTTTAAGTGTAGGATAACTAGTAATTCGATTACTCTCATTTTAATAAACACAGAAGACTGAACAGAGCAACGTCAGCTTTAGGGGAAAGTCCAGAAGTTTGTCAATGAATAACCGGGCGACAACATGTTTCCACCTGAATGCGAGGCCTTGTGATATCCTTCCGCCATCACCAACCAAACACAGCACTTGATAACATCCTTTGCCTACCATCACAGTACTGAACAGAGTGCTGTAATTTAGACCGATATCCAATAACATGACTAACTAACACGTTTTAGAAATTCTTCATAAAATCGCATTATATATAGGATTTCCATCAAACTTAATGTCCGTCTTAGGCATGTCCAAGAACTTAGATGTGGTTCTGGTAAACCCATCACCAGAAGTTATACCAACTGGATGTGAGGTGGAAGGCCTGTTACGCAATTTCTTTCGATCGAAACTCTCGTGATAAATTCGCCGTATTATTTTATACTCAGTTTTCCTCTTGATTTGGACAATGCGAACTTTCGCTTGTTGTAGATCTGTCATACAGTCTGATTTATACTCAATTCTAGTGGCATCAGCTTCACTACTACTTTTTGGTTATGGAGATGGCATTGTTATAGGGCCGTATTTTTGTTTGATGACGTACTTTTCGAAATTATGTAAGATTGAACTTTCCTACAGATTTTAGTCCTCGTTATCAATGCTGACGCTACAGAGTCTACGCTACGGAGAATTTAAAACATAAGGTGATTTGACGTACATTTTATGTTTCTGAACTACAAGGAGAACGATCCAGGTAGCAATACGTAAGCAATTGCCACTCGATGTTGAAAGAAAGCGTTTCGAGCAGCATTGGTATGTAGAACAGAATGGTCAATAAATTACATTTACATACCTATATATTAGAAGGCAGAATACAACACCTACACAAAGTCAAGCAGTAGGAGCTCATATTATGGCAGACAGTAATTACACGATAATCATGACGGACGAGGTCAGATTTTACTGGTTGGTAGGCTGTCATGAAGTCTCTATCTGTGACGATTAATAAATATTTCATGATCCGCAGTGGAAGCACCATGTGCCTTCATCAATTTACGGAATGGCAACAAACATCCTATTCAGTGAGTTTATAAATAGAAAATAAAATTTTGCGCAGGTTTATACATATGCATAACTCCGAAGGTGGCTCATTTTGAGTCCCACCTCTGGATAAACCATCATTCACTGTTTTGTATCAATTTCTTCCTGAGATCCAATGAAGCCAGGACAGTAGTACGAGAAAGAATCAGTTGGGAATAATCTAGGTATTCAGATTTGAATTTTCAGCCTGCTGAGGTCTTCATAAATACATCAGTAAGCATTTGCTGCCAATGTGTCTGTACACTATGACAGATATTTCCTACTTATAGTGAAGTTCATGTGGATTTAACTTCTGTGAGGCTACAGGACAGGGATATACAATTTAAATTAAGGAACGATTCATGTCGTGCCGATCACTGCAAGCCGTCTTGTGACACAGCTCAAGTTAAATGTACTCAGTCTCGATGAAGAAAGTTTGTCACGTCAGCATCAAATTACTTATAAGGTAACCTGTTTTCGAGTGGATACGCTCATGCTTGAGTGCTGGATATAAAGTCGTTTCAAGAGCTACCTGATATCGGCAGAAAAACCAGAAGGCAGCACAACAGAATTCGGTCATGCTCAACTCATCCTTGAATATATTTGTGTCAGATATCTAAAGAACCCATTCCGTGGACCCCATTTAACCCTCGGCATTTTTAGCACGAGAAATGAACTACTGTTCCTGCATAGTTTCATATCCTTTGTGCAAATATACCTAAACTCATCAGCTGTGTCACCTAAAAAATAGCGTATGCTCTTGATTCACAAGAGTTTGAAGTGGCAAAGATTTACTGAAGATGCTCGATTAATGTGTCACAGTTCTCGAAAATTCAATGTCTGTCAGTCAGCGACTGACTTTTCACAAGGTTTGAAATCGTTTAAGACGCAAAACTCAGTCTTGATATGAAGTTCTACTTGAATGGGGAGTGCTGCAGTCGCTTCAATTCTCTATACACTTCTTAGGAATCCTCATCAGGGTTCGAGGTTGAATTCATTGGTAAGGATCCAGCAGACTGAGTTAACTTAATCCATGCTTGCCTTATCTCAGTGAGCAGCTTCTAACTGTAGCTAGGAATGAATGATGTCAATATGCAGTGCCAATAGTTTGCATCTATGGTGCGGTTGAGTAATTTCAAGAAAAACCACACTTCAGGAAAAATAGGGATACACAGCATCCAGAGTCACTATGGTCAGTAGTAAACTGAAGAAGCATATCATAAAACCTAATAATCAAAGAATGCTTAGTGTAACACGCGTCGGATGAAGTCGATTTCTGGCGTATAAGACCGTTAATACATTTGCAGACAACTGGAGCATATTATGCCTAATTTTCGTAGGAGTACATTAAATGGGTTTGTGGAATACTGCCTCTTCACTTTCTGTAAAGTCGTGACCCGTAACATCCTTTTTTAAGTCTAATATATCTTCAAGATGAAGGTTAAAGTGGATTTATGTGATTAATTATGGTTTTTGAACTCTCTGTACTGGTCATCTTTCTATAATAACGGTAGTGTACAGTGTTTGCACAATCAGCAAACAGTGGTTACTCATGATAGTTGGTTGTGAACTTAACCAGAAGAGTGATCGATATTTGCAGTCCATCATAAGAAAATTCAAGATTTAGCCTAATTATTACGCCTAAATGCAAAAAAATGATCACAGCTGATGCAGATTACTGACTAAAACATCTTGAGTTTTTCGTTAAAGTTCTACTCGCATCTATGGTATAGGCCTGTGAGAGTCACCACACAACTCCTAGGAAAAATATGCTGTGTGTAGTAAGCAACAAGTTGATAGGATGTCTCCCATATCTTTAAGCTTTTAGCAATTTATCAGTAAAGTGATAAATGCTCCAAACATTAAGATTTTGGTGACACTTTAGTTTTTATGGTGTTCAGCTTTCTACAGTACGTTAAGGAAAACAAGTGATAAATATAGGCGCTACTGCAGGAAGTATCGGAACTCTGAGAGCTACACAACCCCCTATTTGATCGTAAAGTGCGGGTTTTCACAATAATACTGATGCATGCTAGAATATGTGGCCACAAAGGTTTATAAGATATGAAAGAGGCCTTGTATTGAGTCAAGTGTTTCATAACAGTGGTTTTCCTTATCGTGTCTTGACTTAGCTGGTCGTAGAGAAATGTGTCACTGAATGAACCCTCACCTAAGTACGAAACCAGAGCATCTTTGCTTAAAAAGAGCATACACTGACATCGTGACACTGTCGTTGTGATCATAAAAGAAGTTTATAAAGATATTTTAACAAATTTAATGGTATTAATGATTTTATGCATTGACGTCTAAGGTTGTAACGACAGAAGACAAGGTCCAGGCAACAGATGGTTTATTGGGAAAATCAAGAGATATTTACAGATTTTTATGTACATTAGTATTCGTTATTGTTAGCAGAGAAGCAATGTATTCTGATTAGCTGTTTTCTTGCTGAAGGTTATTCTGTGTTGCTTGTGAACTTTTCTTAGAAAATTTAGGCCATAAATATGTAAATCGCATTTGCACACGTTAGATCTGCTGTGATTGGTCCGCGGGTTCCCCGATGTTAAGCTTAGTTATCGTTTTTTCTCATGAACTCGATTCCGGTCGTAAATTGTTGTCTACGATTTTGGCTTGCAGACAGCTCTCACCACCTGTCCCATTCGATTTTCGTTCCTACCATAATGACCACTGAAGATATTTTGGATGTCCTCTCTTGAAAATAAATCCTATCGGCGCCATTATAAGTTTAAGTAATACTAAAACTTCAGGCCGTAAGCGTTATATTCTCCCTCCACTGGTTGAAGTGGTGTTAATAACACCCTAGCCACCAGGTTAGGTGGACCAGGCTAAAAAGTCAGCAGGTATTATTGTCAGAGCTCAGATCTAACAAGGTGGATGTCCACATACAACCGGTGAGTGTTGCTTCCAGTCAGGGCTAACGGGAAGAGAACTTGAATTCGTTCAGTCGGCTCTCCTGATCAAATTTGCTTGAATAAAAACAGTTTGCAGAGGGCTGTCTGAATATAATTTTAAAAGCATAATAGTAGTGACAGTAATATTTTTCTGGAACAGATTCAAGGCACTTTTACAGGCAAGAACATGTGTACACGAATTGGAACTGATAGGATGTATAATATGATTTATTAATTTAAACTTAGATTGAACACTGGTTTATGTGAGAGGAACATTGAAGAAAGCACAAATCCATAAAGTGATAATTTTCGAAATGTGCTTTCGACCGAATAAGTAATAAGATTTAGCATTAAATCTAAGTTTTAAGTGACAAAATACCTACTTCATGTCACGTTAGTAGTAGGAGGTAGGTGGCATATCGGTACAGGTGATGAAGCGAAACATAAGGGATGCAGAATAAACAATAATCATCAGTGAATGACTCATAAAGTGTTCGAAAGTCTATAAAATTCGAAAGTCGCAGGTAAGTACACCATAATTGTGACGTTTGCAGTTATAAGTGAAACCAACACTGAACTTGTCAACAGACTTCATGACGAAGTTGGTTCCGTTATTCACCAGGTGTGCTATCAGTGTTCTAAATAACGGCAAAATGTAGGTGTCAGCGATCCCAACGCTCCATTTGAGTAACACTAATACAGAGGATAGCAACACGGTATCAATGCCTTTGTTTGAGACAGTAAATTCGAAAAGGGGAAAGGACAGAAAGGGGATTGCAAGAGAGGTGCGGAATTATAAAATAACTGTTACTAATGCAAAATATACAACAAACACGGGGTTAACTGTTTTGATTTTCTTATTATTTCACCGATAGATTTCGGTAATGGAATTCTAAAGTCTTTTTTAATTGACGATTAGTTTAAGTGAAAGACGTGATAATTGTACCTACTTATATAAGAGTGAAAAAGAAGTTAAAAACAAAAGTCAACGTGGGTGAAATTCGTGGAAGAATAGCGAGGGCTTAAAAATGTCTACTGTTTTGTGATATACAGTTAGGTTTCTTTCTGAAGTGGCGAACTCATACTATGTACTTGCATTCTGGGAGTTTATATTTAAACTTCTACTTCTGTTTTAGTCATTCATTTATTTCTCAAACTCAGAGGCCTTAGGAATAGAGTGCTGTCCCACAGATAAGGGTGGTTCTCATATGTTCCCAGCATCATACCCGCTGAATAGCAATCAACACCCTCCCACCTTTTTATGTGCAAGACCCTGCAGAAATGCTACTTTTTAAAATTTCTGTTATTATATGCCACACAGACTTTCTACATTCATTTGTCAACTCATTTAAAATTTAGAACAATACATTTAAGCGGACAATATTGTTTTCAATAAGATCTCATCAGGCTTAACTCTAGTATACATAAGTTTACAAATAAAAATTCAAATACAAACCAACCATAGTGTTTTTCCTATAGGATAATAAGATGGTGAATATAAATCGTGCAATTAGTCATAATAGTAGTAATGATAATAATAATGGTTTTAGCCGTTATAAGGATGAAAAAATGAGGCAATCTGTGATAACACGAATAACGAGAAGCAGCATTATTGAACAAACAAAATTTCAGTGGCCAGGATTGGCTAGATCGAATATATATTTCTACCTTGTTTTGGATTTTAAAGATTCATGTAGTAAGCTAAACTTTCAGCATTACTTAAACTTATAATAGCGCCGATAGGATTTATTGTCGAGAGAGCACATCCAAAATGTCTTCAGTGGCCATTATGGTAGGAACGAAAATCAAATCGGATGTTCTCCTATGAGTCATTTTAAGGTACACGATGTGAATTATATCGGTGGTGTTTGGGAACGCTATGTTTTAGGGGATATCGTAGGCAAGCAGCCGTTAACTGATGAAGGCATTTCAACTTTACTGATAAAGGCTGTCCCACTCACCTCGGATACTGAAAAACTCAGTGTTAGGACCTAGGCGCAAATGGATAGGCATTAGTGTCACTCATCTCATTGATAAGTTCCCCAAAATGATTGGGAAAAACTCATTATTTAGTGGATGTATTTTGAAACGTTCGAAGCAATATGTTTCTTTTTAAGACAGCAACACAAATGTGTGGATATAAGCAGGAATGTACAAGCAGGAAATTTTGTTATTTAACTATCAGACTTTACTAGTGAGAATCAGTGGCAACTCAGTTTTGTGTAGTGACCACTTCCTAGGAAAGACGTTCTAGTTAGACATAGGGATGTGGAGATAGGTAGGGGAACATTTGCCACAGATATCTGGAAGCATGTCTCATGGAAATGTCAGATAAGCGTTATAACCGCAGGAGAAATATATCTGCTGTAGGCCCTGGCAACCAGTTTATCAGTATGTCTGAACTGTGCACACGTTTGTCTAATATCCACCTTCAAATACTGGAGTTTTAATTCCATTATGGGTAAATTTTATTTTGACAGAGTCTCACAGTGTTATACAGTAATATTCACTGATGGCACTGTGAGACACTGTGAAACACTGTGAGACTCTATCAAAATAAAATTAACCCATAATGGAATTACACTCTACCACAGTGCCCAAGTTTTATTCTTATATCACTGGAGTTTTGCTTCGAATATTATTTTATATTTTCACATAAGTTAGGCGATTTGAGTTTTATATGGGCGGTTGTCTTTGTTTTAGTTTGAATTCACACTGAAGTCGACTGTGAGCCATTTTGTGTCCACTCACCATTTTCCTCGTGATTAGAAAAATTCTCGGCTTAAATTCGGATTTTGTACTGAAGTCTGTGAGCGTGTATCTTCACTAAAACTTATAATTAAAAGCAACCACTTGTGGGCTTTCTTTAACTAGTTTATCACACTTAGCCATTATTTTCCAAAAACAGAAGCATCACTAGCGAAAGAAACTCAGCCACTTAAATCTCAAACTCCAGTTAAGTGCGTCGGTGGCACAGTCGTTAGGACTCTCGCCGACCATGCACATGGTCCGGGGTTCGATCCCCTGCCGACGCACATCCGATATCTATGGCCGGCCTGCAAAATTTGGGCTGCCGGTATCCATGCTGAAAATTCCATACTTGTACTGAAAATACGGTGTGGAATCAAGCTGTAATCAAAATAAAAAAATAAAAAATAAAAGCTCCTCACTCACGAAACTGTTTCATCTGTACAGAAGTATCGAAGTATGTATGCTGTGACATAGACACCTCGGACCACTCATTTTTTCAAATGATTTGCCGAGGCTCCCGATGTCAATAAACATGACATACTTCCTCATAAGATATTCCTAATAGGCTTCGAGAGCACTTCCTCCTTGAGTAGGTCTGCCTGTCATAAGTCGGCATATGAACATTGATGACTTCATTATTAATCAATAGCCTGCCGTTCATTTCTTCCATAAGCTAAAGGTATAAACTTATCGAGAGATTAAAATTACAGTCAAAATGACCTGAAACAACGAAGCAGATGAGCCTGTAGGTAAGAGGCTTAAAGGAATGAATAAAATATGTCAGTGTGGATAGAGATACACGACTGCCATTGACGGGTATGCATATAGATGTCCTGATTATCGCTGTAAACGTTTGTACGAGGAGGTATGCCGCGTTTTTATATGTTCATAGAGACTGTAAGCGCTCTTGCTCGTAACATTTGAATTGTATCTGTCCAAAATTATCATAATATGTCATAAATGGGTTTCCAGCAGTTAACTGTTTATAGGTGAATTTAGGTGTCAGAATAAGTTGGACTTCAGTGATGGACTAGGAGACGTTCTGAAAAAAACATGTAAGACATAGCTACCCGGTGTAATTATGTAATACCACAAACATTGATTATAATTTTTTCAAATTATGCGCTTTTATTATGAGCTCATTTGTTTAGTTGTTGTCGTTCGCTTTATTTATTTATTTCCTTTATTCTAACCCACTTCTAAATGTACAAAGAGCAAAAATAATAACAGAGCTTTAAAAATATCACTTTTATCTACCATAGACTGGGTGAAAATTTACCATTATAATATCAAGAAAAGCTGTGCACGAGAGAAGCGTACGCGCTGTATTTGCATGTAACGTCACTCAAATGTCAGTGACAAAAGTACCCCCCCATCTGACAAGACGTCTTGTGTCACATGGGGAAAAAGTGTGCCAACTGTACAAGGCAGTTTTGTACGATCTGAAATCTAAAAGCAACCACATGTAATCTTCATGTTCTTTCATATAGGTCATTGTAGCCTAAAATATCGTTACAATGCCGTGCTGGCGAGAGCCCGTTTTGACGAAAATAAGGACATTAAGGATGAAGTTCTTGCCAGGAAACTTCTAGAAGATGGGTGGGCAGAGTTAAATGCAACTAAACATCCCCATCCTTTCACATGTAAGTCCCTGTTCACAACCTGACTTCAACAAAACCAGATCCTACTTCACCCGCAGGTGCAGCTTATGAGAGAAATCCCGTTTTCAATGACGCCGTAAGTATGAGATAATGTTGCTCTCATTCCGTTCTAAGTGAATTTATGTCAAGTACACTAAAATCTCATGTATTTTAGACTTTGTTTAATTAGAAGAGTGTGTAGCCATCTTTCTCGAACGTTAGCGCACGTCAAACACTGGCAGTCTAATGGGAGAAGCCGTATTTCTCTTCAAATGTGTTCGCTCCCAGTGGTGCTCCTACTTCACATTTACATTACACTCCGATTTTCACTGATTGGATAACGCAGATAAGTTGAGTGAAAGTGTCTCATGGATGGATCGATATATAATTCCTAGTTGTTATCTCACTAATCAACTTTTCCTGTGGTATTCCAACATGGGCAAACTTTCTCGGAATGCCAGTGTTTTCCTTAGAAACATGTGTTCCACTACTAGGTAGTCTCTGTTGCCTTATTCTCTATACAGGTGAAATAAGAGTAGGTAGTCCTGCTTTTGGTTCTAACTGTGTAGGTTTTTGACGACATTTATTCCTCGATACGGATTTAAAACAAGCAACAAAGGTTAATGAAGCAGGATTTAATGAATTTATCAAATTTCGGTAGAACTCGTCAGCTGACTACTCTACATATACGGATATGTTTACTTTTGAAATTATATTGGAATATACAAGACTGATAAGCAAATAAACTAAATTGAATCAGTCATGCAGAAAGACAGGCGCAAATGTTTTTCAGATCATGTTCAAATACATAAAGGGAGAGGAGTTATGAGAGATTAAAATTAAGACAAAGTGCATAACGCTTTAATTACATCACTCAGATAAACAATTAGGCATTAGAGAATATATCAAGAATTACAAGCAAAGTAATATCAATAGCAATAGTAGTAATAGTAATGTTGAAGTGAGTTAAGATAATGCTACTTATAAAAGATAGTCTTAAATGAATCAATAATAATAATGATGTAGAATAATAAGTAAAACGTATTACCATGGTGGATTCAGAGTGATGACCATCTCCTTTTGTACATAGAAACATGGTTTATAAACTCGAATTGCACATACCTCTGCAACTGCAAGCATCTTCTTGTTGCTTTGTCTGCTTGCAACAGTGAATGATTTGATGGCGTCGGTAGCAAATCCACAAGATGTTTTGTTATTGAGGTTTTTGGCACTTTCCATTCAGCTGTTTTCAACCATTTTGGCAAATGTTCCATCATGCCAGTAGACAATCGCCTTTCTGTACGACTTATGTATTTGCTTCCACAAACACACTCGAATTAATATACGCAGTTTGAAGTGTCGAGTATTGGCGACTGGTTAATTTATGTCAAACCTGGGCACTGTGGTTGTAAGCAATTCCATATTAGTTTGTTTATTAGATGTATCACACAGTGAAACAGTATTATTTACTGGATAACAAAATTTATTGTTCATGATCAAATTAATTATAATCAAGTTTCGAAGTCGTGTGAATATATTTGATATGATTATGAACAATAAATTTTGTTCGAAATGTCATCCAGTAAATAATACTGTTTCACTGTGTGATACATCTAATAAACAAACTAATGTGGAATTGGTGACTGGTCTTTCCCAGATTGTTGAAGCACTCTCTTAGTGGTGTTAAGGAAAACAAGTTTTGCAGCATAATAAGTTCTCTTGATAGCTTTATCTAGTCTCCGTTTCACTACTTCCTGTACATCATCTCCTTTGAATGGCAAACTGATGTAGACAGATTTCTTCGGAACTGTTTGGATAGTTTTGCAGGGGCTAATTTCTTTAAAGTATTTATTAATGAACTTCTCAGTATATCCATTCTTAGATAAAATATCCTTCAGAGCTTTTATTTCATGCTCAATTGTACTGTCGGAACAAATTTTCCATGCTCTTTTGAGCAGTGTTCTTTTTATACTGGATTGGAACAAAGCTCTTAAAATGCATGTACTGTCCTGTTCATGAAGACTTTCTATATATAAATCTTTCGAATGTGCTATCAGTCCTTTTCATTAGAAAAACATCTAGGAATTTAATAGTATCATTTTCTTCGTATTCTATTGTGAAATAGAGATTTGGGTGGCATTAGTTGAATTTTATCAACATGTCTTCAGCTCTTGATCTGCTTCCACAGACAATAAAAGTGTCATCAACATATTTTGGGTATACATCTGTTTCTTGTATATGTTGCTGCAAGGTACCAGCTTCTAGGTCTGACAAGAATAAGTCTGCAAAAGTGGTCCCAAGGGGCGTCCCATTGCGACACCATCAATTGGACGGGGATAGACGCCCATCGAATTGGAATTGGAAATTCTTAGTACATAAAAGTAACAATTTCCTCAATTCCGATGTTGGAATGGGTATGTCTTCAGCTTCTCGACACATAAAGTCAGTAGTCTCAACGGCTGACACATTTGTGAAGAGGGTAACATCGAAAGAGACCAGATGCTTATCAGATACATTGAAATCTTTAATTTGCTTGACAAACTGAAATGAATCAGCAACTATATACGTTCCGAAACGTTTCTCGTCGGCGAATTTGTTGACATGGTCTAGGGTTATTCGTATTGGCTTTTAGAAACCCATACTTTGCAATATTACAAGTGGTTGACACCATATCGTCGATAATTTCAAACTCAGTTTCCCTTAGGTCCAAGTCTACGTATTTGTCTTCTTAATTTTGTCTGGTAGGACAAGGGTGTATTGATCATATCTCCGTTCTTTGATGAATTCTAGAACACTAGCATACCGCCGTCCAACACTTACCATATTTCCTGCCCACGGAGAGGTACTGTGAAAATGTCTGACTTAAAACGCAATACCGTGCTATTCAGCCCACTAATATAACTCAAGCAGCCATATAGTGGATGTACTAACAAATACGACACTAGTAAGCTTTGACAAATTAGAGAATGACACGTTACCAGTGAACGGTCTTGTCATTTTAGCGCATGCAGATGATATATTCTCTGTATGTGATGCCGAAAAATGCAGTGTGCTGAAACCCTTGGGCAAAAATGTTTGGCGTGCGATCTGTCCATGTCATATGTAGGGTAAGGATGTAGGACTGTCTGTCTGTCTGTCTGTTTTCGACATAGAACTTTGCACATATGTGCGGCAGTTCAAGTCGCCACAATCCATGTAGCACGCAAAGCAAGAGAAGGAAGTAGAAGAAATGCAAAATATAGACAGTAAACAGAGGTGTGAGACAAAGGAATAGTAATAACGGAGAACAAAACAGTTTAACTGGAAATGATAAGTCACAAGGAGTGGATGCATCTGCGCCACTGAGAACGATTTTGAGCCATGTCGCCAATTGTTTCCAACCATTGGTTTTTACCATCCCGAGGGCCCCAACCAGGAAGTTTACATCTTCCTGGATGTAGGACTGATTTGCATTAACTCCTAAATTAAATGTAGGGAATTAAATGGTCGAATATGTTTCCCACTTCTCTTATTTGGGAAAATGCATCAGCTATGGTGGACTGATTACCGACGAAATCTCAGCGCCTGATGTGACATCTACCAGCTTACGTGATCTCTGATGTGGAGACCAAGTTAGGTTGCATCAATCGAAATGGGGAGAACAGGTATTGCGTTAGTGTTGAAGATGCGGATTTTTGTCCTTGTACTAAGTGCTTCGGATCTTCAAATTGATTTCAGAGTGATGAATACCTGCCTCGCCTTTTCGGTCCTGAATGGTTTTGACATCTTCGTCCATACCGTCCGTAGTTGAGACGATGGTTCTCAGGTAAGCAAAGGAGATGACTTTCTCTAGATTACTCCCATTGATGATGATTTTTGTTGTTGGTTGGGTGTCTTCATCACCTCTGTCTTCTGTGTCCACTTGGATTCCTGTCTTCGCTGCCTTTTCTGTCCACTTGTTGGTTTTCACCTGCAAGTCTTCGAGTTTGAGGAAGGAGACATGAATCGTCCGCGAAATCCAGACCTGCAAGGGTCTTGTATCGGTTCAGAGTATGCCTATCTCCTCACACTCAGGGGATCATGGGTAACATTAGACAGTCTTGTTTCAGTCGTGTTTTTGCTTCATGTACTTTGGTGAGCTTTCTGTTGTGAATCACTTGACATGTATCATCATTACACAGCTATTGAGTGAGGTTTAAGAGTGTTTGCAACATTTCACCGCAGTGCTGAAGCAGTTGCCAAATTACTTCGCGATAGACACTGCCGAAGGCTATTTCAAAGTCGATGTTGATGTAGGGAGTTGACTGACATTCTAGGCCCTGTACATCGATGATGGGAAGTATTACTATCTGATCCGTGCATGACATGTTTCTCCTGAATCCAGCCTGTTCTGCGCGGAGTTTTCCACCTAGGTTTCCTTTCAAATCTCCCTCAGAGTGTTTCAGTGCTCTTCCATGGAGGGGCCTTTGGTGACATAGTTTGATGCCCTCGACTTTTCCTGCTGACTGGAGTGAAGATGTCCTTTTCAGCTTCATCTACCATATTTGGATTTTCGTCTGTCTCCAGGTCATTCGAAGGCTGTCAACTTGGTCTCGGAAATTTCTAACACTGGATGGTAGTCTTAAGCTGCGTCTGATGCCTTTTTGGATCTTCTGTCCAGTTGGCTGCGTCTCCAGTTCTCTGAGACTGAAATGAAGTCTATTTGGTTATCGGATTGTCCATCTGGTGAAACGCGCATCTCCTTACTGAAATCCTTGTGCCTTGTACACACTGCCTCAAATCACCAAATTATTAAAGGCTCAGAGTCATCCGTTCTCATTCATTTCACCAAGTGCTTGTCAGCTCATGATGAGTTCTGCTCATGTGTTGTTTGCTTCCAGTTATGCTTGCATTCATATCACCCATTAAAATTTTGATGTCGCCACCTGTCTTTGGTCTTGTTTATTACTGCTTATAGTTGTATGTAGAAGTCTTGCTTCTTCTCTTGATCTGCATTGTTTGTAGTGTTGTTCGTATCACTGTAATTGTACCGTTCTCTTGTTTTGATTTGAATCTTGTCTTGTCCCTGAACAGAGTCATCTATGCTGTTGATAACATCAATATCGAAGTAGATTATCGACTGTGCAGTTGACTATTTGAGGAGTCCGTATCCACTCCATCTTCACCCTGATCCGTGATGCTTCCATGCCATCTCTTCTCATTTCTTGTGTTTTTTGATCATAGTTGTGAATTTCAAACATGTTGTGGACTTTTAATTTCCGTTTGCTTACTTTTGCTGTAAGCGAAAGTATATTCAATGCCTTACGGGTTCCCATTTTTCGGTGTAGTTGGTCGTGGAAATGAAGTTTTTTCGACTCAGAGGAGGATGTATATATATTGACTGTGTTTTGGATTTTTAGTGAAGCGGAGTTTGATTTTGATTAGGTGGAGCTGCTAGTCGTAAACCAAACCTTCCTTTCACTGGCTTGTGAACTGGGTAGTGGCATTGAATCTCACAAATAACATGTTTCTTACAGGATTTCATCATGAGCTGACAGTGGTTAGAGAACCATTGGAAAACCTGGGAGTACTGGAAAGCTGTTTCATCCCAGTTTGAGATTCTTCAGCAGTACGCACCCACCGGGGTTCGAACCCAGGACCTTCTGGTTACAAGGCGAGCTCGTTTACCATTAAGCCAGTGGGACCCGATCCAATGGCCCATGAATTCTAACTTCTGCCATTTCACGACATAGCGCTACCCGTAGCCAATGTCTTCGGCGAGTATTTGTCCTCCCACCCGACCTGCTGCACCCTACTGGTGACGACTTCTCACTAGAACCCCAGGTAACTACCTACCTAAATAGGGCAAGTCGGTTCTCTAACCAATGTTAGCTCATGATGAAACTCTGTAACCAATCAAATTCCTACAAACCAACACGTAAAAATGTTTCTTAGTTTGCTATCAAGTGGTCAAGTTAATGGTGATGTTCTTTAATTTCCGCTGATGAGTGTGTAGTTATGAGTCATGTCACCTTATCAAGGTTTTGAATCTTGAAATTTGGATGTTGATGATATTTGTTGACACTGGTTTATATTGAAAAATACATCCAGAAATAATTTCGCTAAACAAAGCTTTGAGAACATACTATTTTTTGCTAACAAAGTAAACGTCTGAATTTTGGAAGAACAGGTAATTAATTTTATTGTAGATAGGATTGGTGTAGTGGGATCCATTTATTTCTGTTCAGTCATTTGTGCAGGATCATATTCGCGGCATACAACTTGTGAATAAACTTTTTGTGTTGTGACAATTTGTTTCTTATAGTCCTGTTCGTTTGTATGTTAAACGACAATAGTCTATAGTTAAGTTAAAATGTCATTAGCTTGTCGTCGTGTTAGAATTTTTTTAGGGGGAAGCTGTTAGACTAAACTATAGGTAAATACGCTAGATTTTTACGAAGCCTTCGAAATGTAGACAGGAGTAACACAGAGCTGACTACTTTCGCCTGTAATATTCCTAATTGTGTTGCGAAAGACTGTTGGGAGCGAGGATTATATTATCCTCATATTCTGAGTAAACAAGACTTCCGTGGTAATAACCCAGTCCGTAAGTCGTTGAGTTCAGTTAGAGTGTATTCCATTTTTACATTTATGATAAAATTAAACAGAAATGGGAACAATGGGTATCCACGACGAACACCACAGGTTGTCATCACTTCAGATTGCAACTCTCCGTAAGCACTTACACAGCTGCATGAGTTCAAGTAGAGTGCTTTCATTAGTACGATGTACTTCCTTCACTACCAAAGCCTGTCTGGTTTTCTCTCATTTGTTTCCCTCGAGCACCACTTAGTCTACTCATGATTATTAAGCCTAGAACTTTAGATACCATATTGGTCAATGTAATTTCTCTATGATTATCATAAGAAGACTTGTCTCCCTTCTTGTATACTGGAATAATCAATGGCTTATACCAGTTCACCGCTATTGCCGATGGTTCTCAGATAATACCTAGTACTTTTGTTAACCCAGAGAGCGATTTATCTCCACTGTCCTTAAATGCCTTTAAAATCATTCCATTAGGTCCCACTGCTTTATCTAGTTCCAAATTAAAGACAGTCTTTTTAGCCGGTGTTTTCGTCCCAATTTAGGTTGGTGTTGGATGGAGGCCAAGTTGGGTGTGGTTGCAGGCCAGTTAAATTGCACCTGGAACTGATTCTTTGAATGTTCCAATCGTCTATCCTGAGAGCTAATTACGAAGCCATTCTCTTTGGAGATTGTCTCACTTATCACATAGTTGTCTGATGTTACCTGTCGCTGATACCTTTTCCATCTCTTTCTTTTTTTGCTCACCACCGTTCACGGTCATTGAGAATACTTTCTGTTGGTTTGCCTTTGAGCAGCTCGCCATCATATTCGCAGTCCTCTGAAACCAGTTTGGGTAAAGTAGCCGAAATCAACTGGCTTTTACTAACCTTTGGTTTTAGGTTATTAACAACCTATAAAAATTGCTTCCGCAACTGACTGGATATTATACCAGGTTTCCTCAAGAAGAGTCTTGCTGTCGACTTCAGATATACGTTTAGCTATTTCTTCCTTAAACATGGACTATTCTGATCAGGTTGGCGGCGTAACAGCTTCTGAATGTTCTTTTTATGTCGGTTCACTTTGAGACGTTCCGAATTTTGTTTAACTTTTAGAAATGTGGATTAATTTTTATTGATTTAGAAGTGTAGTTTGTAGGTAGTCTTCACTAGGCACCCGTTTATTAATGAATCGAAATTATTGATTTTTGTTTATTCCTGTAACAGAAAGAAACACTTCTAGACACCAGACTAACAGTAAAGTAATTCGTTCAGTACATTTTTGTAAAATTTTAGTCATCGAATTATTACTTCTTTTTGATAGGAATACGATATGTGGCATCCACTAGAAAAGCAGCAATATCCGGACTACTTTGCAAGACGGGAAAAACGTAAAAAGGAATTTATTGATGCCTGGGTAAAACGTTATGGCGCCGTATCCGAAAAATAGCTGGATAGTATGCTTAGGTAGTTGTCTTGTAGATGTGACTTCATATTGTTATGACAAATAAAACTTTGAAAATACTGCTTGTTTATTTTCTGACCAATTTCAGTCTTTGTTCAGTAGTTTTTATCGCATTCTAACGTCAATCAAGGGACAGACTAAAAAAATTAAACAGTCTCATCATCCGAGCTTTAAAGTTGTCATCATTGTCCCTGCTCATATCCCGGCAGACACAGACGAAACATTTCTGGTATCTTAGGTGAATGCATAACCAGTACTTCTAGATTCTTGTAATCGCCGCATTACGGCCTGGTTGTTACATAGGTATCCATTAACACCAGGCATTTGGTTAAATAAAATTAACTGAAGCTTATGTACATATTTTAGTTGTTGGTAATATTTAACTATTTCTACTGACATTCTCTGTTTCGCATACCAAAAATTTTGAATTTATCTTATTTCGATTATTTAAAAGAGACACTAATATAGTTAATGTTACAATGATAATCTCTGCAAGGCACCGCTGACACATATAGTCTTGATGTTTGTAAACATGTCAGTCATAGCCCTGATAAACTGCCTTACTATTAGTAGCTTTTATTTTGCCGCTAAATAAAAAAAGGCTTGTTGCGAGTTCCCTATTTCTATTCATCAGGGTGACATTTGTTAGGTTTATATGCTGTGCTAGGCGTGCATTTAGGTAGAACAGTGAAAACAACTTCCAAGAATCTTTTCATCATGTTCAGGAGTTGCAGTTTGTCTGACTCAGATTATCAGGATGCCGGGAGTTCTTGATGGATTTGAACCGTGTTGTTTCAGGAAAGCTCTTCATTTGAATTGTTCTTGCACACATTTAATTTGAAATGAAGAATACTTGTAGGTTTGGAGGTTGATTTTGTCAGTATTGTGTTTTGTAAGCTGGACAGTTTAATCGGAAACCTTGCATTATTATTCCATATTAAATTGCCAGCACTGATTTTAGACAGTAAGTGTACCACGAAAACATTTAAAAAAATATACCATAACAAATGCTTCACGTTTGGCTTTATGAAACAAATAGATATCGCTCGTAGTTCAAACTGTGTTTGAAAGGATTTCGTATGGCGTAAATCCAACACATTTGGTACATTAAATATTCCCGTATTTTCGTTCAAAGTATTGTATTGAAGTCCGTTACTGTTACTGCCACCAATAGTGATTTTCACCGGGTTTTGTTGTGCGTCGGTGGCATAGCGGTTAGGACGCTCGCCGACCATGCCCGGCCGACACACTCCTTTACCTCACTAAGCCAGAAATAATGCTTGTGAAGAGGAAAGGTTGGGCATGAAGCTAGCAACCCCATCCTGTAAAATAAACACTGCTACAGAAACTTCAAGCCCTATGTTCCACTGGGGAACGTGAAGGAAAAAAACTGTTGTGTATAAGCTGCTTGCCATTATATGATGTCAGTGAGAAAAACATTATGGGATAATCAGTTTACACTAACATTTTCAAGAAGTTATTTGTTCAGACAGATCTTTTAATTTCAAATAACTCTAGATGTATCTGCTCGCCGTTTCTTTTTTCAACTGATGTTCAGTATGCATGACAATGGCAAAGTCATATTTAGATAACAAGCGACGATTCAAGTTAGAACATACTCATCGAAATGATTATTTGAAAGCCAAATTTCACAGGCTCTGTATTCGGAGGACAGTATTTTCACTAGAATCCTCAAACCTATGAAGACTTTTTTCTCCAAGAACTATGGAATGGGGTTGGGTACTGTTATAGGGCGATACGCTAAATATTGCCTGAATCTTACAATTAGTTTTGGTTACTAATTGTAAGTACTTGGGAATGCCTTCTCTGCCTCGAAGCAATATATTAGTATTTGTCGTAGATTTCATATATAGAATATCACAGTACCTCGTACTCACTTGTAATAAATTCATTGAGTTCAGTTCCAGCAAGTTCTTATTACTTTTTAGTGTACCACCAAAGTTTGAGTATGTGAATATATTTTGTTCGTAATAGTGGGATTTCCTGATATTCAAGTAATTCATTCTGACGCAGTTAATACTGCTTAGTTTGGTTACACTGAGGTCTGTTACGTAGCACTCAATTGTAGGATACAAATTGAATTATTAATCGTTAATTTAGTCCACTGGAAAAGTTTGTATTAGAAATTGTTGAAATATCTAGTGGTTTCATTTTAAAGCTTGGCTGATAGATAAAATTGAGGATATGTACTTTCTACTATTATTTACCTGTTTGTAGTGGATATGAAATGAATTTTGTTAAATGTCTAAATTCTAGAACAGTCTTAATTTCAGGAAATATATGCATGTGGTGTGTGCTAATAAGACGAATTCGTAAGTAGTATGTTGTATGTGGTGTCTTCCCCAAGAATCTTGAATAGCGGAGCCCCGGATTTGTTTGCAAAGAAGAAAAGTGAAAATCAGTATAGAAAGCATGAAATGACGACAAAAGCTGTAGAATACAATACCTCTTACAAACTGAAATTTCCATGTAAGGCTTTTGTATTTTGCCTTCACTGTACATCATTTCGCCAAATAAATAATTCCGCTAACAAGTACCTCTGTGTTTTGCTGTTACATGTTTACAATATGCATTCCCTTAGTAATGCGAAATTCAAAAAGAAAAGAAAATGCATTAGGAGGGTCACTGCTTACTTATGGGTTACACGGATGAGCATTGTAGAAGCGTAAAATAAGGACAAAAGTAGTGGAAATAAGATTTTTCTCACTGTGGAAGAATAGCATGGTGGCTTGCGTCCTCAAAATTCTAGGAATCTAAATTGGTACACAGGATAAAATGAATAGAAGTTACTAACGAGTCAAAAAAAATAAGTAAATGTGAGCAATGAGCGTGTACCCTTGATTGTATGTGAGATGAATATGAATTGATCTACAAGGGGAATTATAACAGATGGATGTTTTTCAGTTCAATACTGATCTCACCTCATTAAATATGTATATAACTTGTTAACTGTAGCTCACATCTAACAATTAAAATAAATGAGGTTGCAGTCAACTGCTGCTTTACATACCTCAAGTTTTCAGTCATTAATATCAAACAGTTTTTCATAAATTCTTTAATGGGAGTATAATTTTATTTCTGCACCAGTTATGCTTAATTTTATCTGCAGTTAATATGCTTTATTTTCGAATAAACTTTTCTATTTTTTTCATCACGGGACACTATATTCGGTTGTGACATTATCTGAAATATCTTTAGATTGGTGGAATAATATTGATGTAATCGGTGTTGACTGAGCGCAAAATGAAAATCTGCTTCATAGGAGGATTCGAACTGTTGGCCTCCCGATTAATAGCCTAGCACGCTACCAACTGAGCTACAAGACCTAGATGCTAACTAGGTCATCATTCCACTACAGTCATCGTGGGCAGTGTACAACTGTGGTGTAAATGAATGATGTATAATTTTCCCCTTATCACTATACTATCTGCCCAGCTATTTTCATTCTATTTTATTCCTTTACGTTCTCAGTGTAACATAGGGCTTCAAGCTAGAGCGCTGAAGTTTCAGTAGCAGTGGTGTTCATTTTTATTGGATGGGGTTGCTAGCCTCATGCCCAACATTCCCCTTTTATCAGTCTTATTGCTGGCTTAGCGAGGTAAAGAAGTGCGTTGGCCGAGCACCGAACTCCGAACCAGCTGCGCGGTTGGTCAGCATTCCACCGCTGAGCCCAGCTAGATTTTCACTTATCAATTCCAATCATACTAAATTGAAAATAGGGGAGCATGCTGCTATTATGGTGAGGCTACCTGGGACAGCGTTAGATTGGTCGAGAAAAGATGAATTGGTCAAAAATTGCAACGGTAGAGTTCCAAAGTAGCAGTTTGGTGACCGCTTTTCAAACTCCTGCCTCATTCATATTTTCATTTCATCTTAAATTAGTATTTGTTTGTTGATTGAGGTAAATACTGACTGGATTCCAAAGTATATGCTTGAGCAACCAGAGACAGTCTAGTAAAATAAATTCATGTCATTTATCGGAATTGTTTTTAAATCTGTCACTGTGTAGAGACGCATATCCATACTTGTCTGTTAAATTCATCTGCTTATAATCAACGATATTGCTTGCATTAACTGGCATTGTAAGTTTTACGACTGTATAAAAAACCAGAGATAGAAAATGATACACTCAATTGTAACAACCATTTCTTTCACTTATCGTGGAATACGTATAATGCTGTAAAATCAGCTAAAACCTTAATCGATTAATCTTGCAACCCACAAGTGACTTACCAGTGCTTTATGTAAAGTCCATAGTTAGCTCATTGCTCGTACAATCAGGTTATTTTGCTGAAGAAATGTTGTCAAATTTTCACTTAAGAAAAATTAAGGCATATAAAGCAGCAAAAGAACATGTTTGATGCCAGACTTAAGATAGTTGCTAAATTATTATACGGTTACATATCTTTCATCAAAATTGAAAGTGGCTGAAAGAATATAATCTCAACATCTCTGTGCAGTTAGTAGGTAGAGGTGGTACACTAATACGAAATACCAATGACTCGACAAAATAACTGGTTCCGATCATACAGCCCTAAAGGAATAGACATACTTACCGGCTTCCAACCATTGTCATATTTCTTGACCTGAAAGCGGCATTCGATTCCGTCGACCGAGAGGTACTATGGCAAGGTTTGGCCATGAAGGGTATGTCAAGGAAATACATCACACTAATCAAAACACCCCACTCGAACTCATGCAGCCAGGTAAGATCCTATGGAGAGTTATCATCTGAAGTGATGACAACCAGTGGTGGCCGTCAGGGATGTCCACTGTCCTCATTTCTGTTTCATTTCATCATAGATGTACTAGTCGACTTAACTCCAACTGACTTCAGCGACTCACCGATTGACTTGTTATCAGGGTATAATCTCATTGACTTAGAATATGCGGATGATGTAGTCCTTCTAGGTGAAGACGCTGACAAAATACAGTCTTCTGAACACTTTGAGGAGCAGCAATTTTGGAGTAGTTGGCATGCAATCCGCCCCGGTCGAATGTGAGATTATGCGACAGGAATGGACTACATCGACTCCTAGCTTCAAGATAGGGAGTGAAGTCGGTCGGTCAGTCGGTTTTCGACATGGAACTTTGCACATATGTGCGGCAGTTCAAGTCGCCACACTCCATGTAGCGCACAAAGCAAGAGAAGAAAGTAGAAGAAACGCATAATATAGACAGTAAACAGAGGTGTGAGACAAAGGAATAGTAATAACGGAGAACAAAACAGTTTAATTGGAAATCATAAGTCACAAGGATGCATCTGCGCCACTGAGAACGATTTTGAGCCATGTCACCAATTGTTTCCAACCATTGGTTTTTACCATCCCGAGGACCCCAACCAGGAAGTCTACATCTTCCTACGTGGCTTAGACTAACTGTTGTGGATTTCATTGAC